AAAGAGAGAGATTAAGTCGTCAGATTTGTCCTTTTTCAAAAGTTACTTTTTCACTTTCGTGAAATCTGTGGTTGAGCACCTATTTCTTCAGTTGACTCTAGATTTTTACCTTCGGAGATCCTTCTGGCCAATTTTGTCTTTAAAACACATTGTTAAGTCTCCTATTCGACTGGGACAGACATTTCAGACCTGGACAAGAAAGAGCAACAGAAAATACGGAACCAAGGTACCAAGGTACGGTACAGTCATACATGAACGTGAACACATCATGTGAACCAGCTAACCTGGTACATGTGTACAAAACCTACGGTAGCTATTTTGTACTCGACCAAAGCCAGCAAAAGCTGGAAATACAGACAACGAGGGATGGACTGGTGGAATGTCTACGGTATCGGTATCATGATGATGCAGAAAGCTGCTTGCCAATGATGCTATGGGCAGAGTGCAGCTAAGACAACCAACTCGGCAATTCTTCGACGTGTGAAGACTAAATAATAGAATCTCTTACTAGTAGAGTGTAACACAATGCGGCTCAATCAAGGACGGCTTCCTGTTGTTGGTATTGGGCAAGGCTAGCTAGATGTCATGAAGACTTGTAAGGCTCAGCCCCGCAGTGCTACGGTAGCCACCCCGCAGAGCTCTCTGCACACCACAATGACCCGCTGTCGTGCTGTCACTCCAGCTTCTCTAGTTCCTCCGCGATCTCCCTGACGTCTCCTGCTACCATGCCATCCAGTGCAATCGATCCAATTCGAACTCGGATTAATCGGAGTGTCGGAAATCCCACAGCGGCCGTCATGCGTCGCACTTGTCGATTCTTTCCTTCGTGGATGGTGATGGATATCCAGCTGGTGGGCCCATGCCGCGAGGATTCGTCTCGTATGTGTAGGTTGGAGGATGGTGGAGCAATACCGGGTGGTACACGCACGCTCTTGGCATTTAATATTTTTGTTGTCGTCACATTGGATACATCCACTGGATTTTGATCACAGTCCTTTGCCTTGTGGCCCGTCTTGCCGCATGTGTTGGTGGCCGCCAAAATTACCCCCCAAAAGTTTTTCTCTTTCTCTTTCGCTTGGATACTGCCACTGGCCCTGCAGAGGGATTCTTTGCCTTGGCTGTGGTGCTCGTTGCGTTTACGCGGACGACGACGGTATCCAAAACACGAGCTTGACACGGCAGGGTCGTGTACGTGTACGTGGACCTGCCCCCCTGATCCTTGTCGCATTTGGGCCCTGTCGGCAGGGAAATTGGCACTCCATGACAAAGCCGGTGAAGGGCTTGTTCGGTGATCTGTCCATCCAGTTGGACCCAGTATTCCTTCTCGACCGATGTGCGACGCACCCTCTCCGATACGGTTCCATCCGTGGTCAGGAGGAGCAACCCTTCGGAATCTTCGTCCAACCGACCAATGGCCATGGTTCCCATGGGCCATTTCAATGGTATCGGTACTGGTTCACTCGAATCGGCAGTGCAAGTGGCAGTGCCACGGAGGACATCTCCCAACAAGGTTCTCTTTTTGCGTGTTCGATGGGTGAACACAAACTGCGTCAATACCTTGGCAGGTTTGTACAGTTTGAAGTGCTGGTGTTTACTTGTTGTATCTTTACTGTTGTGATTCGCAGGGAGGACGCCAGTTGTTACGGTGGTGGTGGCGCCACCTACCGGGAGCAAGGGAGGCCTACCATTGTTATTTAAATTGCCATGGGAGTGGGCTCGAACTCGAGCTCGACTGTCCTGACCCTCCATTGCCGTCAGCTGCTCAATTGATCCAAAAGGATACCACCAGTACCGTACAGTAGTTGTATCTAACTAGCTAGCCTCTCCCAATTGAGAAAACTTGAATGTGGCAACAGATCACGTACGATACTTGTACGCCGGCCAATTGGTTTCAAGTGAGAGTTGAGAGGTGGGGACCACTTGCCGTCGCAACCAGAGGTCTGTTGGAAGCTCCACCTTTACAGTGCAACGCCCATGGGTGTCCTACGTTGCACTGTGATGGTTGGCAAGTCAATGGACTTCTCGTCGTTGAGAAGGGTGGTCCACACCATGGTCACACGTTGTTGTTGTTGTTGTTGTTGTTGTTGTTGTTGTTGCTGTTGACACACTTTTCATTTTTCGATTAGGGCAGGAAGGTTCAGCCTGAGGCCACCTGGCACTGGATCCTGCTGGATCCTGGATCTTCACATGCACCAGCAGCAAATTGTTTTTTGTTTTTTGCGATCACCAAGCAAAATCACGAGCACATGCTACTGTACGCTCCGTGAGAGATTACACTCGTCAAAGTGATGTTCTCAGAAGCATATAGCAGGGATCAGAGAAGGCTACTAGGCACAGGATGAGTAACCGAGGACTGGTGATGGAAACTGTGGCTTGTAGTTACGGGGACTGTGTCAGGATCGGTGAAAACGAAGTGAAAGTGGTTGGAACTGAGACCATAGTCTATGCCAACAAGAAGCCACTATAGCTGATGAAATGGAGGGGATGCATGGATGACAACAATAAGCTCAGATAAGGGCTACATACGCAGAGATACAGGAACTGCCTGATGGAATTAATCATGTGGTGAAGAATCGGCTGAAGCTGTTGTCCCAGCCTGAAGCTGAAGCTGTGGTCCCAGTCTGAAGATTCCATCCCAGCCTGAAGATTATGTCGTTCGTTCGATTAGCCAATTGGATAAAGCACTCACCATTGTTGTCGGCCAAGCTTGGATTTACCTCCTGTTTACCATAGGAATTGTATGAGGGAGAGAAGTCCGTGCTGCGCCTTCAATAATAACATGCTTGATAATAGACTAACCGGTAATACCGCTCCTTCTCCACCATTTTGTTGCTCTTGTTGTGTTGCTCTTGTTGTTGGTTGAGCGAGTAAGGCTGCTTTCATGGTACAGTCCTAGCTACTGGTAGCAAGCCAATAAAATCAATTAAATAAATGGTTCCACGGGAAGTGAAACGTCCGAGCTACACCATTCTGTACAGTGGCTCAGTATGTGGCAAGCCAATCCACTACTACTAGTATGCTAGTACTGTACCCCATTCGTTACTGGAGAAACCTTACTGTACATATTTTGTGAGTGCTTCTTCAGTGTTCTTTTTATGGAGTTCTTTGAAGGCTATAACATTTCAAACAATATCCACAAGTGATGGTTTGATGTGAGAAGAAAGGTTTTACTACACTCAATCCTTACTAATTACTAGTGTATGCTTTAACCCACCAAAAACACTTCAAGAAGGCCTCATAATTGCAGAATCAGCTTTTGTACTCTTTGCCCCTATTCAAAAGAGCCAAAGTAAATTGCACGAGCCACCCCAGACCCGCTTCTATGTTTAAATCGTGAGGTGACCTCACGAATTTCGTCTTTTCGATTCGAAGCATGACTCGATTCGACTCGACTCGACGTCAAAACGGAGGGGGCGAGAAAGGGGTGGAAGGCAGAAATCTGATTGGTCGATGAGTACCGGAGAACATTGTATATGTCAGCAGCGATTAAGGAACAAATAAAGAATCGTGACGTAAATATGACACATACCTAAGGAGTTAGTGTGCTACCTAGTTTCGATTTTCGTGTTTCTGTTTTCGCGAAAGAAGGATTCCAAGCTCGATCGATCGACAATGACAACACCACCGGCAACACCACCGGAGAGCCACTCGACAGTCATTATCTCAGCCAAAAGCAGCACCATCATGACCGGAACAGCAGCAGCAACAGCAGCAACAGCAGCAACAGCAGCTACCACTCACAATGGAGGAATGGGCTGCCAAAGTCAACAGAGGAACTCGCAACAGAAGAGATCATATCACGCCTCCAACAACAACAACAACAGATCCAAGAGAGCCAGAGAAGAAGGATCGCAAACAACACTGGGAGGAGTGGTAGCAGAAGTCTTTGATCCACTCAAGAACTGTGTCATCTGTAAGGCCAGACATCTTGGTTTCAGAGTCCCAAAAAGATCACATCACGTTCTCTGTATTAAGAATACAGTAACAAGAGGAAGAGGAGATTTGAATGAGCTGACAATGGAAACCCTCAGAGAGAGCAGAAGACTCACAAGGCATTTCAGTGCTCCTCTTCCACTGAATGAGAGAGGAAGCTGGAAGCATTCAACAAGAGAGAACGGGGAAGCCTTCTTTGGTCCTAGAACAAACACAGCCAAACCAAAGCAGAGCCGGCAACAGCAACAAAAGGCAGCAATGGCCACTCCAGTAGCTCTTTGTCAAAAGGTAACCACTCTTGTAAATGATACCGCCTTTGTGGAAAAGCACA